AACATGTCCTCCTAAAGGGGTGTCATGGTTGATTTTGATGATTTCCAATTGCTCATTTTTATTTTCAATAAGTCTTTTAGGCTGATAAATTATTATTTGCAGAGAATTCAGTTCTTGTGCACATTTCTCCTTAAAGATATGTGGATTAACAAGCTGAAAAATATCGCTGTTTAGCGCTAGAGCTAAAGCATTGATGTTCATTTTTGTGGCCATTCTTTCAATTTCATTCAGGATATCCATAATATTTGTGTTCTCAGGTATGAGCTTACCTTTTGATGTCGCTAGCTGACATTTTTTTGTTTTGTTGAATATTCGTATTTCTACATTTCTGACATTAAAGTCTCCTCGTGCTAATTCTATGACGAGTTTTGGTAAATCAAAAACTTCACTTAAGTTCAACGCCTCATACGCATTGAGTTGATCAGGCTCAGGCATATCGTTGCTATTCTGTGTTGGTTCTCGATCTTTTCCTTTAAGTTTCTTTGAACTGGCTCGCGTTTGGACAATGAGCGTTTGTATGTTTTTCAGAGTTTCGGAGTCGATGCTGATTCTAGACAAAGCGTCGGCTCCCACATTAAGTTTTCCTTGAACGTATTCAACGTCAAAAACAAATTCTTCAAGATCTACTCTCATCCTTGTTAGTCTAGATAAAGGATTTTTGATTGAGAATAGGTACACTAAAGGTCTGTGGTCCGTTTTGATTAAAAATTTTCGGCCATAGAGGTATGGTCTAAAGTGCATAACTGCCCAATGAATTGCAATTAGCTCTTGTTCGATAGTCGATTTATTGGATTCGCCTTTTGTGAATGCTTTGCTGGCGAATGCAATAGGAAGTTCAATATTGCCGTGTTGCTGAGCAAGCACTGCTCCGCAAGCTGTTTTAGACGCATCGGTTGTTAAAATAAACTGCTTTTTGAAATCAGGGAACTGTAGAATTGTTTCTGAAATTAGTGTGCTCTTAAGAGTATCGAATGCTGCCTGACATTCTGTTGTCCAGCTAAAAGTAACGTTTTTCCTCAATAATTTGTTGAGCGGGTAGGCAACATTAGCGAAATTTTGAATGAACCTTCTGTAGTAATTGCAAAAGGCTACGAAACGACGTACTTCGTCAGAATTCGTAGGTACAGGATATTTTTTTATAACTTCAAATTTGGACTTATCAGGCTGTATGCCTTTGTCAGAAATGTGGTGACCTAAATAGGTAACCTCGTTTTTGAAAAAGTTACACTTCGACGGATTCAATTTTAAGTTATAAAATCTCAATTTTTCAAAGACCTTTTCGAGATTCGCTAGGTGATGATTAACTGAACATCCGACGACAATAATGTCATCGATGTATAGAAATGCGCATTCTGGTGGTAACCCACTTAATGCAATCGTCATCATCCTCTGGAAGCTGTTTGGGGAAATGTTTAGACCAAAAGGCAATCGATTGAATTCATAATGCCCAGTAGTTGTTGAAAAAGCTGTTGCCTTTTTAGAGTCTTCATCAAGTTCAATTTGATGAAATCCGGACATTAAGTCCAAAGTTGTGAAATACTTTGCCCTGCCCAGATGATCTAAAATTTCATCTATTCGTGGCAGTGGGAATTTGTCTGGGATTATTCGTTTGTTCAATTGACGAAAATCCACCACTAAACGCCATTTTTTCTCATCCGTTACTGATTTCTTAGGGACTAGTAAAATTGGCGAATTGAAAGAGCTTATCGACGGTTGGATTATTTTGTCGTCTAACATTTTGTTAACCTGTTTATCGATCTCTTCAAGATGGGCTTCTGGGGTCCGATAATTTTTTATGTACACAGGATTTTCATCCTGAAGGGTGATTTTCTGTTTATAAAAATTGTTTGCTGTTAAAGTGTCGCCTTGTAAAGCGAAAATGTCGTTATATTTAAAACAAAGTTCCTTCAACTTTTCCTTTGCTTCTGGGTAAGTCTCTAAATTTATTTCATCGGATAATTTCTGTAACCTTTCCTTTTTACGATTAACCTTACGTGGTTGCGTTTTGAACTCGAATTTTCGTAGTGGTATCAATTTTGGTTTGAAGGTAGTAACGTGAACTGTAACAGGTTGTTCTTTCGAATTGACAATTTGAACATATTTCGATGTTGGACTTATGATAGTATTAGAATAGAAAACTCCAGTGTCCATTTGATCACCAATAATGACACAATCTTCTGTAACTCCTTCAATATCTACTTCCCTAATTATTTGACACCTTGGTGGGATAATGATTTTGCTATCGAATTTATCTTCGATAGGAATTTCAAAGGTTTGATTTTGGTAATCAAAAGACAAAAGCCATGTTTTTAAACAAATCTTGGTACCATAATGTGCAAGAAAGTCTCGACCAAGAATTCCATCTGTTGTAATAGGGAATTCTTTATCGACAACTTGAAAATTGAGTGGTATTTTAACGCCGTTCATTAGGATATTTGTGTGTGAAATACCGATGGTTTCAATTTGTCCACTAGTTACTCCGTTAATCATACATTTGTGATTTGTGTATATATTGGTTGTGGGTTGTAGGATGTTTTCCTTGATTAACGAAACATCCGCTCCCGTATCGACTATTAGAGTGCATGACTTGTCACACATCTCTAGTTTCAGAGTTACAAAATTCGTGTAATTTATGTCTAAATTGAAAACTTTTACGCTCTTGGTTGAGCAACCCCGGTGGGTGCGTTCGTCTCCGGCTGGGGACGGGCCGATGACGTTTGCTCGTTTTCCGCGTAATACACATTTCGACTTCTGTTTTGGCCTTCATTAGTTCGACTGCTATTATTGTCGTTAGGGTTGTTATTATCGTAACGCCTATTGTCAGCATTATTATTGCGATTACGATAGCGATTATCACAGTTGCGGCTACGGTTCTCGTTCTGGGAATCGTAGTTACGGCTATGGTTGTCGTTATTGTAACCTCGATTAAAATACTGTCTTCCAGAATTTTGACCATATCCCCGGTTGTAGTTTGGCCTTTGATAATTATTCTGAAAGTTTCTTGCATTTCCGTGAAAGTCTCGTTGGTAGTTATTTCTACTGAAATTATTTCTACCTCTGCTGGCAAATGTGAATATTTCCGCATTTGGTAGGCTAGGAGAATTTGAGTTCTCCACCACTTTTGTAATGGCATCCCTAATATTGTTGAAAGTTCCGGCTTTTAAGATTAACTTTGTATCACTATTAGTGACACCGTTTATGAGGGCATCTACTCCGGCTTTATTGGCCATACTTGACGCCACATCATCCGGTATTTTATTACTTAAATACACGGATTGTAATTTTGCCGTAAGGTTTTCCAGTTCATCACATAGTGTTTGAACGGACTGTTTTTGTTTGACGTTCCTCATTTTCGCGATAATGCTGTCTGGAGTGATCTTTTCTTGGCAACGGTCTCGCACGTTGCTAATAATCAGTTCAATTGTATTGGCCGTTTCGGGTAAGCCAAGCCTTGCCTTACCCGTTAGTCTTGTTCGTAAAAATTTTGCTGCCAAAGGTTTGTGATCAGCTTTGACTAGTTCGTTTAGAAGATTCGCTGAGTCGACGAATGCTTCTAGGCCATCTGCATCTCCATTGTATGGCTGGACTAATGCAGGAGCCGTTTTAATGTCAAAATCGGTCATTTTGGGGAATCGGTTTAACCAAATGATTAGTTTTACAAGTGTTTTGAATCTGATAATTGGGTTGTCTGCGAACACTGTTGGGAAGTTATATCGTCGTAATAATACGATAAGTTTTGCTAACGATTTGAATTTAATTTTTGTAGGACGTGGAATTTGAGAGGTTGAGGTTGGAAAACGCTTCAGGAGTATACTTAGTCTCGCGACGCTTTTAAATTTAATTTTCGGTGGGCAGACCTTTGGAGGCGCTAAACGATTAACGAATATAATAGTTTTTGCAATAGTTTTCAATTTATATTTTGGCGTTCTAGAACTGATAATCGCTTTAGATAAAAGTTGTTTGCACCCTTCAAATTTCGTCTTCGTTATTTCGTAAGTTTCGTAATGCGCTTTCCAGGTGCCTTTTTGTTCAAATTCTTTCTTGCTTGACTTCAAAAGACTAACATACTCGCTGAATAAATTTCCCAAGGTTTCTTCCTTCAAAGTAATCGTCTCAAGAGTTTTAGCCTTGTTGACGCTTTTCCGGAGGTTCGTAAACTCTTTTGAGATATAATCCTCGATAAAACTTAATCTGCTCATTTAGAAGAAAAATCACACGTTTTGCCCAAGCATACAACACATTTCTTTCACTTGCTTTGACCGAGAATTGAATACATCGCCTGTTAAACGATCTACTTACTCAGAATGTTTCAATAATTTACAGAAAACACTTGACTATGGAAAAACTATAAATCTACATTTTCTAGTTATTTATTATCATCTTTGTTGATGGGTACTTATCTTGAGGCTTGAAATTTTCATCAGGGTGTCTGGTGACTGCTCGTCCTGGACTTGTGATGCGTTCACAGGGTGTCTGGTAACCGTTCGCCCCTGGTAATTGATGAGTCCTCAGGGTGTCTTGTGACTGTTCGCCCTGGAATTGTGATGCGTTCTCAGGGTGGTCATTGACCGCTGACCGTTCGCCCCTGACTGTTGACGTCTCTGTTAGAACGGACTGCTGTGCCATCAAAACGACTACTTTAATCAATTTAGTTTTTTCACTTCTTTTCTTCTTTTGTCTGCGTCTGTACCAAACAACGCTAATTATCACTGTTGACACAATTAGTAATGTTAATGTTGCTATCCCGTATATCAAATGTTTTTCGACAGTTCCACTATTTTCCACTACCTTATTTACATGATTAACGTCCGTGCTCAAAACGTTACTCCGTGTTTCTTCGATTGGAGTTGTCGGAATCGTGGTAGTTGATGTGCTTACGATTATGGGTAAACAGCCCCATACATCACACGCTGAGTAAAACATGTGTACGGTTTTCGCGATTCATTATGTTATAACACACGCGATAGTTATATTGTTCTTAGTGATCACGAACTTCTTACATTGTTCAGTTGGATCTCGTGTTGAACCACGTTTTTGATCCCCTTTTTCATGTACTTGCTGTGAAGTCTCAGCAGGAGATACGCGATGATCACAACCACCATTGTCACGCACGCGCCTGCTAGGATTTTCATTTCCGTGGTGTTCATTTCCACTTGGTTCGTGATGTAGTTGTCGGATGTGAACCAACCCATTTTAGCACTTATCACTGCACAACTTTGTACGAACACTTTAGCAACACTTGGTTTCGCGGCGTGATGAACTTATTTTTCGGAGAAGGCAGGTCATTGGCCACTTAGTCGCGGTTCGCCAAATAGCATCTCTCCCGTTGATGCTTCACTACGGACTTGTCATCAAAATTAAGTCCACACTCTCCCGTGTCTAGATTAGGCAAGATTCGTTTATTTTCTCTTCAGCTTACATTTATATTTCCTACGACTAGAGTTACCTAGATTCATGCTACCTCGCACAGACAGTTTATTGACAATATTTGGAATAACCCGACTGAGACAACATAAACATAGCTCGGGTGACGCCCTTGCAAAGGTTGCAATTCGGCATAACCATGAGACATGCTTAACGGTCTCGCTATGTGTAATAAACAATAATAATTCAGCGTCTGCAGGTAAAGGTCGCAAGCGCATCAAATTCAAAAATAACCAACGTTACTGTTTTATGACCGTGATAATGAGCGTACACATCTTGTAAGCAGATTGTGCGAAATTGCTAATTCAGGAGGCGGGGGTAATCACGCCTAATAATTGATTTGGAAAAATCCTATGACTGATGCGTAGCAGGAATGCTACAGGCGTCTCCCTTCGTGGGCGAACATCAGCTGACCGTGACAAGGCCACCTTGGTCGAGCCGAGAAGGGTCTTCCTCCTTAACAATTAGGACTACCGAGTCCGAGGATGCTCTCCTTTCTGGAAATTATTAAGCCGGAGAGTTGAAGGTCCTTGACATTTAGACCAAGACAGTTGAGACTGACTTGGTCGAAAAGTGCCGATCGTGAGGATATCCGCGGAATACCAAAAAAAGGTCCTGAAGGACAAATGGTTATTTAAAACCAAGCCAAAATAATTTTTGGTCAAATTCAGTTACCTGATTGAACACCAGGAACATAAAAAGGTCGTTCTCTGCAACTTTGGTTCACTTTTGCACTCCACTCACGTCTTCTAGGCACAAACGCCGGTTTACTTCTGGGCAATGGTTGACCATCCCAGCTATCAAAAGCCCTCCTTTTCCCATCCAGTTTTCAATTCGTTCCTTTTTACCCGGAGTTGGTTGGAAATGCTAACATGAAGCTTTAGTGTGATAATTTATTAGCTAGAGAATGATATTATGAAGAAGGTAGGTGGATAGTTCCGTTAGAGTACGGCAGTATGAAAATTGAATAGAAGTATAAAATGAGCGAAGGGCCATTAATGCGACAGACCTATACTAGATCTGGATGGTGTACAGTTTGATCAGTGAACAGTGATCAGATGCCGGCGCCGGTGGCTTAGTGGTAAACGTGGGTCTGGGTTCAATCCCAGCCGAGGTCGGTGAGATTTTTCTGAGGCATAAAAATCTCTGGTCACGTCTTGCTTCGGTAGGGAAGTAAAGCCGTTGGTCCCGGCCCATGTGTGTGTTTGAATGGGTGCGATATTAGAGTGATGCAAAATTTGAAATTTTCGCTCCACAGTACTTAAACGATTTCAAATCGGATCCTGACTAACCTCTCAAAATTTGAACCCAATTGGTGAGAAACTGAGATGGCACAAACCATTTGAAGTTTGTATGGGAATTACTATGGTAAAACCAAAATTTTTGTTCATGTTTATCTAATAATTCACCATACCGGTCTGCTTCAAAAGTTTTCAACTGTATTTGTAGGAAATTTTCCCAGTACAACTTTGCTGAAGACCACTTATTGATTAAATGCAAGGATCGAAAGTTATCAATGGTTCAATGCGCTGATGTCTTATGATCATGCTCAATCAACTGCCCAGCAGGCAACATTGGTGTTTCTGGGGCGTTGAATAGGACACACAAATCATGGCTACTATGTCACACTACAAAATACAGTGTTGCCTACAGAGCAGCTGCTTGATCATGTCATAAGTTTACAAATCTCTTAAATAATTAATAGCTTTTTCCTGTCTCGTTTTACATAGAAACAATCTTGAGCAAAGTTGTAGCTGAGAAAATTTTCTATAAGAATGGCTATCAAACTGTTTTGCAGCTCAATATGGAAAAATACTAGAAGGCAATGAACAAAAAGTTGAGATTTCCCATCGTAATTTACATGTAAACTTCAAATGGCTTGTGCGAAGTCTGTTTCTAACCAAATGAGTTGTAGCTTTGAGAGGCTAATCAGGACCCGATTTGAAACCATTTAAGCACTGTGGAGCACTAGCACTCCAAGGCTAGTAGCATGCTCTTTAAATTCAATATTTTGGTTGTTAAATACCAAAGTGGGTTTCAAAACATAATTTCCTCTACTGTTACTGATAAAAATAGCATGTGTTTTCTTAATATTAATAGACAACATGTTGTTAGAAGACCATTCGTAAACTCTGGCTAGATCTGCATTGTTTTTTTCCGAGATATCAGAAGCAAAGGTTCCTGAACAATCAAAGTACAATTGGACATCATCGGCAAAAAGATGAATTTTGCAATACTTTAGTACACCGGGCAAGTCATTTATGTATAAGGAAAACAAAATTGGGCCAAGAATAGAACCCTGAGGTACTCCCGAAGAAATAGGAATGAAGGCTGAAAGTATTCCATTGTTGCAAACGGCTTGCATTCGACCCTTCAAATAAGACTGAATTAAAGTTGTCGCATGATTAGAGAAATTGAAATTTTGACGAAGTTTTCTGCACATTATTTTATGGGAAATAGTATCAAATGCTTTTGAATAATCCAGGAGTATCAAAACTACCGGCTTGTTATTATCCAAGACAATACCAATATCGTCAAAAACTTTTAACATCGCAGTTTTCGCACTGTGTTTTGGACGATATCCTGATTGATGGGTATTGAGAAGATTATTGTGATCGACGTATTGACAAATTTGCAGCTTCAACAAACGTTCAAAAACTTTGGATAAAGCGCTTAGAATACTAATCGGACGTAGGTTGTCTATGGCATCACTGGAAGATTTCTTTTTTATGGGAATAATTTTTGACTTTTTCCATCCATCGGGAAATCGGCTGGATAAGATGATGGAATTAAATATGTGAGTAATTGGTTTTATAACTAAAGGGCAAATAGTTTTCAAAAATTTCAATGGAAGCAAATCTAGTCCAACTGCGTTTGATTTTACATGATACATTGCATTAATTACATCGACCTCACTGACGATATCAAAGTAGAATTCATTCTCAGGAATGTGTTCTTCATTTTGACTTTGGAAATTATATTCATTCGAATTACTAGAACAGCTAAAGTTCTTGGCGAAACTTACATTAATTTCATCGGAATTTAATCCGTTGATCGGACAAGAGTTGGTTTTACCAACACCCATTGATTTCAATCTTTTCCATAATTCTTGGGCGGGTAATTTGGGATCTAGATTCACTGTAAAATAGTTTTTTTTTCGCATTATGAATGTGCTGGTTGACTTTATTGCGTAGTCGTTTGAATAAATTGTGATCATCAATGAGCTTTGAATTTTTCCACGCTTTGTACGCCAAGTCACGATCAACCATAGCTTTGCTTATTGAACTGTTAAACCAGGAGTTTTCTTTTTTATCTGAATTGAGAACACGAGTAGGAACGAAATCATCGTACAGATTTGTCATAGCAGTGTTGAAAAACTCTAAAAGAGTGTGTGAATCGGCAGTTTGATAGAAACTCAACCACTCGAGTTCATTATAAGCATCCAACAGCCCATCAACATCCATGGAATTGTAATCCCGAAAAGAAGTTATGTTATCGCACTTTTCCATGTCAAAATCAAACGAAGCAAATATAAGATCATGATTGGAAAACATCGGGACATCTATTTGATTAAATCTTAAAACTTTGGACTCATCATTAAAAAGCATTAAATCTAACTGAGAAGACCCATTCGTATGGAAAAATGTTGGTTGATTTCCTAGAGTACAAAGATTGAACGATGAAAAAACTGACATTAATCTAGAGGTTCTGGTAGCATTAATATTAAGTAGGTTTGTATTGAAGTCTCCAAGTAAAAGTGTATGGCCGTAATTAGTTCCAAAGTTCAGTAAAATGTTGTCAATATCGTCAGTGCAATCAACTTCAGGAGGATTATAGAAACAAGCAAGGAGGATTTTATCATTTCGTATTGAAATTTCCAGCGCTAAGTATTAGGTCTGCGATACATTAGCTCAATTTTCCGATTTCCCGACAACATTGAATTTGATTCCTTTTTTTATATAAATCAGAACTCCCCCTCCTAGTCGTCCCACTCTGTCATGTCTAACGAGATTATAACCTTGCATTGATAAAATGGTGCTATCTATTCTCTCATTGAGCCAGGACTCAGTCAAACAAACAACATCAACTCTTGCTATAGAATAATAATTAGTATAAGCATGAGAAAACGCGGAAGCAATTAGGAGGAGACGATAATTGAGTACTAAACTAAAATCTACGTTATCAAACATTTCAAATTTTGTACTTCATTTACAAGATGTGACGCAAATAATTATTAATAGCATTATTCACCAATACAGCAACGCTCCATTCCATCTCTCGTACCGCCCAGTCCTCGGGCCCAACAGCAGCAACAGCAACAGCAACAACATCAGCACTATAGTTCAACTAAAAACTTTAACTTTTAGGAGGGGAGACACGGGATAAAAAGGAGCGGAGGCAAGGATGTAAACAATAGCAAGAAAGGATAGGTCAACGTTGCATTTATATCTTCCAGTTCACTCTCGGACATTACAGCAACCCGAGATGGGAAATGACAGGTGGGCAGGAACTCACGGTCTCCCAGTGTTGATGAGTTCTTTGTCGTTAATGTTCACGAAAAGTTCACTATTTTGCCATACAGAAATTCAAAACAAAAATTTTTATCTGCGGATTTGGACAGTTTCTGACCTGTTTCATACGACCGGAAGATGTATGCTGGTCACAAATGCCGTGCCAAACTGATTTCCTACGCAATTAATCAATCTTTGATGTGAATTTCGCTAATAAACACGAGGAGCATTTCTTATAGCAAAACTTGCCATAACAA